CAAAGGGAATGTTAATGAAAGCATTTGGGAGTTGTATCAGGATGCATGCAGGCGCAGGGCTATTCAGCGTAAAGGACAACTGAGTAACTACAGGAGGGGATTATGAACAGCTGATGCTGATCAAGATCCCCTCCTGCTGATAAAAGAGACCGCTGGTGCCACACCCTGGTGGCAGAAGTCAACATTATATGAATTCACATGTTCTGAAACAGCATGCAACTAGAGACAGCTAATTCTGGTTTCTACAAACAAAGCGGGAAAGGATTTACAATCTGGACAATGGAGACAAAACTCTTCCCCCGTAACATTTGGAAATCTAATTTTCTGAAGACTCAGAAAGTCTTCAGACAATCCAGTTCATATTAATGCACTGCCAAATAAGCAAAGCAAATAAATATCAGATTTCATTCTGTTCCCCAAGAGAAAAAGTAAAATAATAACAGAGTTGATGGTACTAAAAGCTGCAGTAAACAGCACAAACACATATTTGGAAATATAAATGTTTGTATTTTACAAAGGAATTGTGGAACTGGCTAGTCCCAATTCCCTGGGCAGGAACTCAGTTTATTAAAGCACATGATTCATATTTCTTCTGATATCCCTTTAGCTGTTCTTGGGTAAATGTGCTTTAGCAGTAATTCCATGTTTGAGAACAGAATAACAATTCCCACAAATCACAGCAAAGCCCTGGACATATACTATTTTTAAGGGTCCATTAATAACATCAGTTCATAAAACAATCCCATGCTTCCCACGTACTCAACCAATTTGATAAGGCTGGAAAGCTCCTCTTCCTGTGCCCTCAAATCTTCCTTTTTCCCTGGGAAAACCTTGATGATGTGGAGCATCATGAAGTCTCTAACTTTCTCCCTTATCTTCCAAAATCCAAGAGAGCCAACACAAACCACACAGATCCTTAGGCGGCTGTACAAGAACTCAACGGTCAGTAATTACTGCTCACAACTCCACACTTTCCCCCTTCTACTACACCTCCTCACCTGTTCCTCCAACTACTACTTCTTATGAGTTCTAAAACTGAAGAACCTTACCGCTTTGAAACTGTTGTAGGCTGCTTTACAAAAATACACATACTTCCTTCTCTCTCTCCCAAACACCCCAAATCCCATCTGCCTCTCTGCTCAACTTTTATGACCAACAGTTGCTGAGCTGGCTACGGAGAGGCCTCAAAGGAACAGGGCAAGAACAATCTAGGTGCTGGCCATTTTTGTAGGCAGCCTATCGTTTCATGATGCAATATGGAGAGTGATAGCAAGTTTGGTTAATGCGTCAAGCAAGAAACTGGGTGGCTGTGAGTTCTAGTCCCACCTTAGGCACAAAGCGAGCTGGACAACCCTAAACCATTGACTCTCTTTTAGCCCTAGGAAGCTGGCAAGGCCAAACCTTTTCCAAAATCTTGTCAAGAAAGCTGTAGGACAGGGGTCCCCAAACTTGGCAACTTTAAGACTTCTGGACTTCAACTCCCAGAATTCTCCAGCCACCTCTGGGAGTTGAAGTCCACAAGTCTTAAAGTTGCCAAGTTTGAAGACCTCTGCTGTAGGACATCTCCAGACATTGATCAGGAGGCAACACTAACTTGGAGACAAACCCCTGCCTCCAAGTTTTATATATTATACATGGAGTATTCAAATAGATTAGAAACTTCATATCTGCTTGATACCAGCTGCAACATTTTGATGCTTTAAGCAAGGTCATATAGCGCATCCTATGCTTTGGCTCATCTGATTTCATTATCTTGATAGGAACTTCTGATTTTGTTATCATTTGTTATCAAGGTCATATTCGATGTTAGTACCGCTTTATATTGCTTTGTTAAGACCACACTTGAAATACTGAATCCAGATTTGGTCACCACAATACAAGAGAGATGTTAAGACTCTAGAAAACGTGCCGAGAGGAGCAACAAAATGATTAAGAGGCTGGAGATTGAGACATTTAATGAACAGTTGCAGGAACTGAATATGTCTAATCTAATGAAGAGAAGGACTAGGGATGACATAATAGTAGTATCTTCCAATATTTGAGGCGTGAAGCACACGGTTAGTGAAGCTGATAATTTGCAAGCCCGAGTTTGAAGCCCGAGTCCTGCTGTTTGATGGAGTGAGCTCGTGTCATTCGCTCCAGCTCCTGCTAACATAGCAGTTCAAAAGCATGCAGATATGGGAGTAGATAAATAGGTATCATTTCAATGGGCTCATTAATTTGGACAACAGGGATGTCACCGGTTAATCCTTTCACCACAGAAATACTTTGGTGCTTCTGACAAGTATAACGTTTGAGGAGCTGTCATAGAGAAGAGGGAATCAACCTCTCCAAAGCACCTGAAGGTATGACATAAAGAAATGGATGGAAACTGGAAAGAAGAGAGCCAATCTAGAACTAAACACTGATAGTGAGAATTAATCAATCACTTGCCACC